TGCTTTGTCTGTCAAAGTTATGGGAGGGAAAAATCTACGCTCGAGCGAACTGGTTTTCACGCTTGAGCGGATGATTTTTATTCGTTGGGTAATTTTGTGAAAGTTTGGGGTCATTGTGTAATTTTTCAAAAGATGGGGTTTCAAACATATAAACCTTTATGTATGCAATACATTGGAAAACGGACTCGGTGTTGAATTATTGATGAAAATGGAACCTTAGGGTTGGTGTTGTAATTATGGGAAAAAGCCCTAATTGTTGATAAATTAATTAGTATAATTAATTTTGGGAAATGAGATATTGAATAGGAAATATTCAAATTGGAAAGGTATGGGATTAAAGGGTGGAGTTGGATTAATTTATCGCTCACCTAGACAAATGTTGATATGTTATCCATTTGATGCATTTATTTCCTGTTTAGAGATAATTGCTTTGGGCTATCGGTAGAGGATAGTCTTGATTGTTGTAGACAATGCATGATGATTAGGCAAACTAAAACTAATCAATGGAATGTGTCATCGAATATGGCGGTTGGAATAATACATTAACCTTATGTATTGATTGATTGTGTGTATGATAATTGTTTATATGCACTATGTTGTGTGGGAGGAGATAGGGGATGTACTCCACGGTTTAGGGGAAGATAGGGGATGGACCTCTAAACCGGAAGTTATTTTCCATTGATACAGCACTACAATGTATATCATATGTGAAGTATGGAAGTGTTTTTGTTATATGGATACAACACTAAAATGTGTACCATTTGTGAAGTATGGAAGTGGTTTTATGTGTTATTGATACAGCACCAAAATGTGTATCTATCATGAATTGCGAAAGTATTTTAGTAATGGGATGTAACCTCATTAACTTGCTTGGCCAGGTTCTGAGCCTTGTTTTCAAACTTAAAGTTGAGTAAGAAACGGAAAATGTGATATGACATGAGTTGGAGTATAAGTGTGAACCATCTATCGAATGCTATCATTTTAGTCATTGTTTATAGTTGGTTTAATATATTTCTACTGGGCTGTGGCTCACCCTATATGGGACATTATTTTTAGGCACAGGTAGCATGCCACCTCCAAGGACGTAGCTTAGGAGGCTTGAGGCTGTTGGATTCTTTTGTTGTTTTGTTGTATTACATGTATATCAAGCCAAGGGCTTTCTTTGTATAGAGTTAGTACTCTCTTTTTGTAACCAAGTGTTGACTTGGAAAGTTGTAAGCCCATAGGGCATTTACTTTTGATGTCAACATGTAATACATTTTGTAAGGACTACTCTGATGGAATATATTTATGCCTTATTCTCTTACGTTTAAGCATGCTATTGTTGGATGATTATGGGTTTATTTTGAGGGCATTACACCATTCGTAGGAGAAAATCTACTGTCTTTAGTCTGCCTTTCCATGCTAGCCAACCAAAAAATTGGATTCTATGGGAAGAGAGGGGGGAATGTACTTCACCCATACCAATTTACTAGATGAACGAGGTGTGCCAAACCCAGCTGTCAGAAAATTATACATAAATAAAATTGTAAAAATACCTATTTTTGAGGTAGTCCAAACCAGTTTATCTTCTGTCTCTGACCTGATTGCAGGAGTTGCCTCTAAAAGGGCTAACATTCTAGTAACCTCCACCATTTCCCAATCATATAGCTCCTTTTTGAACTGAAACACCCACTCTTCTACAACCTCATTCCTTGTCAGCATTGAATTTAAGGACTCTCCCTTATTAACTACTAACCTATGTAGAAGTGGGAATTCCTCTTTCAGACAAGTGAGAGAATGAATCTCAATATATTTTTACATATCTCAAAACACTTTTATATAGGACTTATGTGTAGGTTTCAATAGATTGATTTATTGCCCAATAGATCATTTGATAATTAGCGACGTTTTTCTTCAAATACTAATAACAAACGTTACTAATTGTTAGTTTTCAGCGACAATTTAAAAAATTCGTCAAAAAAATTCACTAATTCTAAATTTTAGCGATAGTTTAAAAAAATTTCATAGAAAAATGTTACTAATTGTCAATTTTTAACGACAAATTCAAAAATCATCACAAAAGTCATTTTTTAGCGACCATTATGATAAGACTGACTTTTAGCGATGAATTAATATGATTTAATGGGAATTAAGCCCAAATATTAACACATGTTGGTAATTTACTAGAGGACGGGAGTTATAATTTTAAAAAGATAATAATTAAAAATGTTATATTACCTTTACCTATCAGTCAATTTATCCACTATCCACCTATCTTTCTAAGTATCATCTCTCTATTTGTCCTTATGTACCTATTTGTCCTTATGTACCTATCTGTCAACTTAATTTGTCTATTTATTCATATCACCACCACGATTAGTTGCTGGTATTAGCCACTACTTGTCACTTTTTGGCGAATTTTTTAAAGTAGGCGGTCCAATAATGATATAGTGGCAATAAAAATGGGTTTTTACGGTTTTATATCAATGGCATACAATAAATACAAGTCATAGTTTCTCACTTTTATGACTTCATTTTTTTGCATGTTGTAAATAATTTTCCAACTACGACATGTCTATTGCATAGGTTGTGAATGCATTAAATGATGATTTTTTTACAACTTGCAATGTTAGCTGTACATAATGAACTTTCTATGACGTGTATATGGCATGCCGTTAATACATCTACTATACACGACACGCGCACACTAACTTTTTCTCACTTTTATGACTTCCTTTTTTTGCATGTTGTAAATAATTTTCCAACTACGACATGTCTATTGCGTAGGTTGTGAATGCATTAAACGATGATTTTTTTACAACTTGCAATGTTAGCTGTATATAATGAACTTTCTATGACGTGTATATGGCATGCCGTTAATACATCCACTATACACGACACGCGCACACAAACTTTTAAAAATATTGAACATTTTACGACGCACAAAAAGGTAGCCGTTAAAAATTTCACTTTTCACGACACACAGAAAGTCAACTGTTTAAAATATTATACTTTTCATAACACGCAATTACTATCATGAAAGGTACGATCAGAAGAAAAGAAAAAAAAAAAAAAAAAAAACACCAAAATAAAAATTTTACACGCCAAACACCAAAAAAAAATTAAATAATAAAAAAAAAATCAAAACCCCAACTCTTGAGTAATATCAATCTAAAAAAAACCATACCCTTCCATATACTAGTATCTCTGTAGTGTCTCTCTCTTCGTCACTTTACTCTGTAATGCTCTGTTTCTTCTCCACCCCACAGCTTTTCACTGTTGCCATTGCGCCACCGTGACCACCAGTGAGCCACCTGCATCGTCTTCACCTCCGTGCTTCTGCTATCAGGGCCGCTACTTTTGCCAAAGTTGAAACCACATCAGGTATCTTGCAATCTCCATCTCTCTCTCTCTCAAACAATCTGCCTCTCAATCTTAATCTCAATCTCAATCTCTTTCTCTCCTTTTGTGTTTTGTGTTTGTTTGTTTGTTTTTTTTTTTTTTCCCAAGTGGTAGTTTTTCCAGATGGATGATTACGAAATTTATTCTGAGATTGAAGAATAAGGATAGCAAATTTATGCATGTGTCTTCCTTCAAGGATAACCAGCTTCTTTCCCCCCTGGTTATTTTGGTAATTACTAGAAATTGATTTCCTATTTGGTTCAAATTTAATACTGTAGTTTCAGTCCCATTAATGGTCTTCTTTTGCTTTACTTAAATGGCTACTGTTATTGTGATTGCTCAAGGCATCATGGACAGGAAGGTATGAAGCTCATTTGTGGGACAAGAATTGCTGGAATGAATCATAAAACAAGAAAGGAAGACAAGGTTCAATATCATTTCTCTCCTCATATTATGTATCTATATATATTTCTTCATAGACATATCTTTATAGCAATTTTATTGATTTTTTTCTGCTTATTGCATTGTTGGTGCTGGTTTTATGGAATCCTAATGAAATGATGCAGTCTATCTTGGTATGTTCCAATTAATATAGTTGCTTTTTTTTTTTTCGTAATTATTTCTAGGAATATGGTCACTTAGTGGCTCTTATTTTATTTTGGTGTTGGTAATTCAGGTGCCTATGATGATGAAGAAGCTGCTGCTCAAAGACAAACAGCCTCTCTACTGGTGGTTTGAATGCGATGACGTGACTATATAGTTTCTAACAAGCGTGTGTTAATTAGATTAAATGGAATTAAATCACAAGCTATCTGCAGTTTCTGTACTAAATTGAGTGATACTGTCTCAAGTGAAATAGGAAAAGCATATGGAAAAACAACTTAAGTGGTGCATCTTTTAACTTGTGGTTTCCTAGGTTTTTTAGGATCATCTTTTAACTTGTGGTTTCCTAGGTTTTTTTAGGATTCTCATTTATGGCAATAAATTTTATAGGTTGGTATGGTTATAAAACCTTTGTTGTTATTATTGTGCATAAAATTTGTTATTAGGTGATCTATCAAGCTATCTTAGGTTCCCATCCTGCCACATGATAACTTAAAAGTTGTGTTGAGTTTTGATCAATGGTTGAGATTTTGATGAGACTACTGCCAGTTCTATGTTAGTATTACATACACTGGATTCTATCTCGAATAATGGAAGCTAAAATTATTGCAATTGGTATGTTGAACGGAACCCACAAATTCTACTCCTGGGATTGATTTTTGGTCCAGTTGAGGAGGGTGATTTGTGTCAAATGCTTTAAATGGTTGAGATTTATCCTAGGAAGCATGAGTAGCATCTTAAGAGATTTATCTATCCTAAAAGGATGCTATTTGCACCTCAAGTTAGTAGAAAATGTGTGTTTTGAATTTTGAAGTCATCGACATGATACTTGTTTTACAGTAGATGCATTCTCCAGATTATATTCTGGTTCTGTGAGTTTCTCAGTTAAAATCTATCTGTGTATCCCAGGAAAAAACATTATTTTAATATTGTACAAACCTTTCAAGTTTTCTTTGTCAATTCCGTCACGGTATCCGAGCATTAATGACCTCCTACAAAATGTTCAATGAAATAAATATATATGGTGTGCATGCTTTAAAATTGCTGCTTTTAATGCAGGTATCTAGTCACGAGTCACGACATTTAAGATAGTTCCAAGGGGAACCGAAGGAGCTGTTATTGTTGAGGGAACCGTTGCTGGACTTTTAGCATCAATTCTCCTTTCTTTCGTTGGTTATCTGATGGGTGAGGTATAATAAATTCTCTTTGTTTTTACAATTCTAAATATTCGACTCTCATTCCCTTCACATTCTTTCAATCTTTTTCTCTTTTTTCACTTTGCTTGTCTCCTTTATGAACAAAACTTAAAACAGCATTAAGATGGTCGGAACTTTCATTCTGCTTGTCTGTTTTTTTTAAGCTTTGTGTTATTAGAATCTTTCAACCGGCACTTTTATGTTTATATCTTCATAAGATATCTGACCAAATCTGTATTTTTCCTTCTCTTGAAAAAATAATTGGAAAACAGATAAATGGACCCGAGGCTGTGATTTGTGTTGTAGCTTCCTAGATTGCTAATCTTGGTGAAAGCGTGATAGGTGCTTCCCTCCAAGAGAAAGAAGGATTCCGATGGATAGGTGACCAACATGAATTATCATTTCAATTCTTTACATTTTATTGTGCCATCATATGTGTTTTAGATTTTTACACAACTCAGATTCAACTGAATGAAGACTATAAACTATTAGGGATTAGTTTAATGAATCCTTTAACACCATTCTACTAAATCTACAATCACTTTCTTGACCTTTGAGATTACGAAGGTTTTACTCAAGGGTACATTAATTGTGTACCTATCACAAGCTCCCTTTTCTTAGGCATTTGAACCTTCGTATGAAAGATGAGGCTCTAACTTGTAACTATGTTGAGTTTTTGTTTGAGATAGCGAGTTGGTTGAGAAAGCAACTTTAGAATGGGCATTGGAAAATTTATTTATTTATTTATTTTGGATGGGGAGGAACCCATGGTTTAGCAAACTTTGATGGAACCTCTAATCTACCGTAAACCTCCCTCTGTCACCATAATCTCCACGGACCATGCACTTCAGTTAAGTCATAGGGCTTATGCCCTATTGTAGGTGGCCCCAAGACTTGAATAGGGGACCTTAGGCCTTGGGTGTCTCCCAAAGCCTTACCTGTTGAGCTAACCATTGGGGTTGGAATTGGGAAAACCACTTCCTTCTTCAAACCAATATTTTTAGTGTCACACTTAGTGTTTTTGGAGTAAAGAGAATACTGCGAAGACAGATTGCTACTCTGGATTCTAGGAGTTGAGAAAGGCTTGTTGCCACAAGTGCATTATACCTGCTAATATCTGAACAGATGCATGCATTGGCTTATTCCACACTAGCTGTTCCCTTCAAACATCTAATCTACACATTAGGCATACTTCAAACGGAATAGTTAACATCAGACAGTGATGGCCCGATAAGGGCAGGCCAGGTACAGTATGGATTGGTGATTATCATTACACATACTACATCTGGCCTATTTTTTTTTAGGTTACCTTACGTCTGGTATTCTCCACTTCTGCAATTGTTTGTTGATTTTGAACAGTAAAGGATGCACTGCAGTGTTGTTTGATGCAACTATAATTGGTATAGTTAGGAGGTAATAGTGGGCTACCCACATTTCAATGCATTAGTTAGGTGGAGATTCAAAATTGTGTTGTGCTTTACTAGGGTGGAAGACCACGTGTTGCAGACTTCGTTCATGGTTCTGATGGATTAGGGAACATTTCCTTACCTCCTCCAAAATCCAAGAAAATTGAGAAGAAGGCATCGGAATTTTTGGTGGATATGGTTTCTAAATATCCTGGTGAAGTATCCATACTTGTGCTGGGACCATTGACAAATTTTGCTTTAGTAAGTTTTAATATCTTTCCTTTTTGTTCACTCTCACAAATAATGACATCTTCAAATTTTTCGGGTGTGTAACCTTTACACTCAAGAAGCATGCGTTTGTTTGATCAGGCAATGAAAAGGGACTCATCCTTTGCAAGCAAGGTCAAGAGAGTAGTTATTCTTGGTGGATCTTTCTTTGCATTGGGGAATGTCAATCCTGCTGCTGAAGCAAATGTAAGTGATTACCACCTCTACAATACGTTCTCCTATTCCATATGGTATGAAATAGAACATGCCTTATTTTATCATACAGTTCTCTTAGATGTATTGAATCTTTTTAGATTTGGAAGTGTAGAAAACTTGAACACCTATTGGGCACGTTCCATCTCATTAAATAAATTTGTTCAAAACCATAACTGTTAGTTTTCAGTGGCAGTCTCGTAATCTCTCTTGGGAGGGAGTATTTTATAGAAGTTGGAATTAGAGCTAGCTATCCTAGGCAAAAATTAGTGCTAAGTGCTAACTTTATAATGGTTATTATGAAGTAATCAAATCAGTTTAATTCATGCAGGTATGAGCCACTATCTTATTTTCTTGGGAGGGAGTAGTTTATCCATGCTTATGATCTAATATATGCTCTTTCTACTGATGTTGTTTCAAGTTTGGTTGCTCTAAGAAGGGAAGCTTTTGAAGACGGAATCCAAGCTACTATGAATTTTCTAATATCTTTAGAACTTTTTGGATGGTTTTGAAGTTGAGAACAATTTTTGATGTTTAGAAACATAGTTTTTGGATGATTTGTAATGCACAGACAATTTTTGGAAAAATTAAACATGACGTATAGGATGTGCTGTTAAAAGTTTTAATGGCATGCTATGGCATGCCGTTAAAAGTGAATGACTTTCCATGACTAGTTATGATGTGCCTTGTGCGTCGTAGAATCGTATCCATGGCGTGCATTTGGCGCCGTAAAAACCTTTTTTTGGTGCCGTAATCCTTCAAAACAATAATTGTCCTTCTCACCAAATAATTTCATCAATCATATCATTTTCACTATAATGATCAATTGTCTAACCTAATATCATATCCTATTATCACTTAGATACCCTTTTATATATTAATGAAAGAAATATTGAGAGAGTGATTGAAAGAGCTAATACGCTCTGTAATTCAAAAATGTGTATTAAACCTGAAGAGAAGGCTCCATTATATAGGAGAGCTGATACAACATCATTATGATACTACAGCATGAAAGAAAACATATAGAAATAAAAAGCAGCCGAAAGCGAAGCATCTGATGAGAAGGCACTACCTATACAACTAAGCAAAGCACTACAACTAAGCATATGATGGAGAAGCACTAACTAATATATATTAAATATATATTAATGATATAAGCATACAGCTGGTATTATTATATTAACAATAGCTTGATTTCCAACAATTAAGTATATATTTTTTTGTAGGCACTAAAAGAAAATAAACTTAAAAAGGAACCATTAAATTATATATTACAAGTTTACAAAATTGTTACATGGATCAAGTAATTCAAGCTCTCATACGAAACCTTAAAATTATCACATGGATCAAGCAACCATCAATTCGTTATATGAAACAGTACAACAAAGAACTACAATTCAAGTGAAGCCTTGCCATTACAACAAAACCACAGAAATTAAAAGCAAGAAAAAACTCAAAGCCAAACAGGAAACCCCGTATTTACATATCTGCCACTGTGCAGGAGAATCCGTATAGGTGTTCGAGTGCTCGA